GGAGTCGTAGCGCAAACCTCAGGTGAGTGAGTCTTTTCCTTTCTGTCGTGTATATATATATATATATATATATATGATTTATCATTCCACAAAAATTTTTTTTTAAATCGATTTAAGTTTATTACCTACATATAATTACTGTGAATGCTTTGAAGTACTAGTGTGAACTACGAATGGCTTGATCCTTGTTTAGGGTACGTAGGCAGTCTAACGAGACGTTAGATGCAGCCATACAATAAATGAGACTAAATAATTGAGACAATAGCCTTGTTTGGGGAATTGAGCAATGTGAAGGAGATCGGTAGAAAATGTGAAATTTAACCTTATGATTTGGTGGTTAAATGTTGTTCATAAATCAATGTGTGAAGAACCAAGAAATTGAAGTAAGGAAACGTAAGTAATGATAGTTAATTAAACTAGTGTCTAATTGGGCTTATAACCGAAAATTATTCCCAAAAATAAATATTTCGGGAGTAGGGCGTTACAGCTTATGCATTTTAAGCCGTATTATATATATATATATATATGTGTGTGTGTGTGTGTGTGTGTGTGTGTGTGTGTGTATGTATATAATTGAAAATGCTATGACATGGTTGAGTATTAGATTGCATCATGGTATATCCATATGTATATTACTTGCACATAATTATTGTGAACGCTTTGAAGTGCAAAGGTGAACGTAGGAGACCCAGGTAAGTTCAGGTGTACATGTCATAATAGATGCAGTTAGAGATCATTATGATTGATGAGATATGGTGAGTCGTACAGGTCATTATAGGTGACTCCAACTTATGTGCTAGCATTGATTGATGAGATATGGGTGAGTCATACAGATCACTATAGGTGACTCCGACTTACGTGCTAGCATTGATCGATGAGATATGGGTGAGTCGTACTAGTCACTATAGGTGACTTCGACTTACGTGCTAGCATTGATGATGAGATATGGGTGCAGTTGTACATGTCACATTAGGTGACTATGACTTGTGTGCAAGTATGGATTATTAAGCACCTGATTATTTATATTGCTGATGGTATGTTGTATCATGGTATACTTCTGGATTTACTGATAGTATACAATTGATTTCATCCTATATGTAGTATGATTTTTTGGAAACTAAACAAGTGTTACAGCGAGGGGTATAACATTTAGAAGATCTTTATTAAAACTTTGCTTTCAGGCCACTCACATTTTCTGTTCTCCAGGTTTTAGTAGCTGAGCTTCCGTATCGACGAGGGTGATTGGATTCCAAAATAAGTGACTATGGTATAATTATTATCTTACTCTATTGTACTTTACCTATGCTCTAACGTCATGTGTGAAGTGGGTTCATTCCCGCTCACCAACGCACTCTAGTATTTAGGCACTCTTAGGTTCAAATTTATTCATATTTTTCCACATCATCACACTTTATGGCTCCGTCATCTTCCAGGTATTGGCTAGCACAGCTCGATTCGGAGTCCTTGTGGACATTTTGGGTCAGGGTGTGTCACATAACATTCCAAGTGTATTCAATTAGAATTAGTATTTAAAGAATTTAGAAAAGTTAAGGAATTAGAGGGAATTGGAGAGATTTTGTAGTGTATTTTAAGCATCCACAAATCTCACATCTTCCCATAAGATTTCGAGGGAATTAAATCAAAATTTTACATGAAATCTCTACAAATCAGTTAAACTCCATAAAAATTCATGGATTTATAAATCCATTAAAATCTTTCAAATTCCTAATTGAATACACCCCACCTTAATTTGTAACCCTATATTATTATTTTTTTGTTCCCATATTTTTAAAATTTTTATTTGTACTCGTAATTTTTTTTTTCACCTATTTTTTTTTGCACCCATAATTTATTTATATTGTACCCATGTTTCTTTAAAAATGTACCACTTGTTATATGTAAAAATCTATTTATTGATTTAATCTAAAACATATACATTGTTGTTTATATAAAATGTAAACATTGTTTTTGTAACATCTCACATCGTCCAGGGGAGTGGATCATGTAAGCCTTATATGTATATTCTCATCTCTACCTAGCACGAGGCATTTTGGGAGTTCACTGGCTTCAGGTTCCATCAGAACTCCGAAGTTAAGCGAATTCGCGCGAGAGCAATCCCATGATGGGTGACCCATTGGGAAGTTCTCGTGTGAGTTCCTAGAAATAAAATCGTGAGGGCGTGGTTGGGGCCCAAAGCGGACAATATCGTACTACGGCAGAGTTGAGCTTGGGATGTGGTGGGGGCCTAGGCCGAGATGTAACAATTTGGTATCATAGCCAATCCCTGGCCGAAAGTGTGCCGATGAGGACGTCGGGCTCCTAAGGAGGGTGAATTGTAACATCCCACATCGCCCAGGAGAGTGGATCCTATAAGCCTTATATGTATATTCCTATCTCTACCTAGCACGAGGCTTTTTGGGAGTTCACTAGCTTCGGGTTCCATCGGAACTCCGAAGTTAAGCAAGTTTGCGCAAGAGCAATCTTATGTTGGGTGACCCACTAGGAAGTTCTCGTGTGAGTTCCTAGAAACAAAACCATGATGGCGTGGTCATGGCCCAAAGTGGACAATATCATGCTACAGCAAAGTCAAGCCCAGGATGTGGTGGGGGCTCGGGCTGGGATGTGACATTGTTTTCTATATAAAATGTTCCATTTTTTTAATGTAAAACGTACCATTCTTTGTATAAAATGTATCAAATTTTTTGTATAAAATGTACCCACATTTTTTATATTTATAATTACGCACACATTCTTTTTAAACATTTGTATGGGTTACATATTATAGATATTTACATATGGCGAATGTACAGATACATTCTTTTGACATGTGACAACTATATTATCATTCATCACAATGTTTTCTTTTGGTCAAATTCAAAACAATGTTGGATACATTCTTTTGGCTCTTTTTTTACATTGTTTCAAATTGATTGATACACACACACACACACACACACACACACACACACACATATATATATATATATATATATATATATATATATATATATATATATATACGTACATGTACTTAATTAAATTACTCATTGTGTAGCTTAGTTTATCTCTCTCTCCCTTTAATGTAAAAATATCGATGTACTCAATATATATATATATATATATATATATTTCAAAAGGAATTATATTGTTATATTGATTTTATTCAACCAAAATTTTTGAAATTTTTTTCGCATTTTTTGTTGGCCGTTTTTTATTATAGCTCATTAGATGTGAGATTTTAAATACCATAAAAATCACAAGTTTTATTGCGGACATAGAAATATATTAACACTAATATGCTGAGGTGTATAAAGTTAAAGGACTTTGATCAAAAATTAAAAACCACTAAGGTTTTAATCAATGAGTATTAATGGCTAGAGACCACATCCAAAGTCTCTCGTTTGAAAAATGATAGTGTTGTTTTGGCCATTAATCTTCTTCAATTCATCAAATTCAATGGTCAAGAATGAAGACGGGTATGTGAGAAGTAACAATGAGTGTGAGAATAACACTATTATTCAAATATAGGCCACAAAGTTTTAGTTTTCTCATACTACATGTTAAAGAATTAATATTGGCCACTTAGTAATACGGTCTAGTGGTATTCCTCTTCACTTGTAAGCGAGATGTCTTAGGTTTCACTTGTAAGCAAGAGGTCTTAAGTTAAATTCTCACCAAACGCGAATTTGAACTAAATTATTATGGCTCGCCCATCGTAAGGCTTAGTCCACTCCCTCACCCCTTTGGTGTAAATAATATCGCTTGTCTTAAAAAAAGAAAAAGAAATTGACATTGTATCTATGTGAGAACCTGTATACCATAATTATATCAAGGGTTGTCTTGCCAAGGCTCGAATTATCGAGGTGAGTGGTTTATGTAATGTGTTTAAAATATTATTATTATTTGATAAATGTGAAAATCACAAGCTATTGTCGGTTTTGATCTATTTTTAAATATCTATCTATTTCAAGTCAAGCATGTTTGAATTTTAAATGCTTTGTGAATGCTTTGATGAGTATATATGGTGATATGTGGATTATTTGAAAATGTTCATGGAGCATAAGAACTTTAGTGTAGCATTAATCCGAGGGATAAATGTAAACTGCACACGGGAACATTAGGGCAGGAAGGTCATTAGGGGTCACAGTCACGTGGTGAGTTACAATTTATGAAGGATGTAATGAATACGTAAAGGGATGATGTGATATGGAATTATGTGGCTAAAACTTCGATATTATTCTCGTACTTTCTAGTGTGTGTAAAACGGCATTGCTTGACTGACATATTACATATTCTAATCACTGAGCGACGGTGGTTGTTGCTCACCCCTCACCTTTATATTTTTCAGATGAGTTATTTGGCATGACAGGTACTAGACGAGTTGATGTTGTATTAGAAGATATATTTAAGAGTTTTTATTTATTTTTGTACAATTGTAAGGATTTTGGAGATTATTTTGTATAAAAGAAGTTTTTTTTTCGATTTTATTTTTACTCACATGGCCGGGTGTGGGGTCATATTCTTATGCCGACTCTGGGTTCGGGGCGTTACAATCTATTTGCAATTTTGTTGGATTAATGGTATGATAATTCATAAATTGATAACGTGGTGAATTTAAGACTCTTACATGAGCTAACGTGTTAGCCATATTTCAACAACATTGATGAAATAAAAGAAAATTATCAATTTTAATAGAAGATTAAACGTGCAAAGAGAAAATGTGTAAATTGGTATAATCTAAAAACCACAAAATGTAGTCTCACAAAATTAGAACCTCATATCCCTTTCTGAAAATCATCTCATCCACCCATAAAAAAATTACCTCAAATATGGGGAGCATAAAACGTAATTAGCTTTTAGTTTGTATGCCCTATCCAACTTTACTTGTAAGACTTGAGACCGTCTGGGTTCACCCAAAATGAAAAATCCGGTGCAAAGTGTGACCTCATTTAATATATGTTGATGTTGGATTTCAAACAGCTCTAGTAAATGATAAAACAAATGAAAAGGAAAATTCAATCATTAATATAAACAAAAACAAAATACAAAGTAAACAAATATGACTCTTCCCATTCATTTATAATACAAATAAAACTTTGTAACCTTTCCCTAAATAATCAACTGAGTCTTCATTGACAAGAACTGCATTCTGCCATCCACAAGGCAAAAAGCCCATTCAATAACTCCTTCAACATTCACAGCCAGTAGATCTTTGCTGCCTCCCTCCGCCACCAACATCGATTGTGTCCGGAAGGTATCTTCATCATCCACAAACAAAATCCACAAGTATTCAATTAGCATCTCCCTTCAGAAACTCAGTATCCCTATTAATTTATATTCACATTATGCGGAAAGGAAAAATGCGACAAGGGGAGCATATAATAAGTTCATGAGTTTTAGGACTTTTGGAATCAGATCCCGAGTTTCACATTATGCGGAAAAATGGAACTGAAATCACAAGTTTTTCTCTGGTTGGACAGATATCCAGTTCTTTTATAATAGCTGTGCAATCAAATCCCGAACCATTCTGCAATAATTTTTCAAGCAACGTGACTTTCATGATTTTTGCAGTACCACACTATTGACCGGACAGCTAATATTAAAGACTGTTCTTCTCCATTTCAAGTTAAAATGGAGAGGATTCTTGTCCCGAAACCATAAGAGATAAAGGGAACCAGCTTTTAAGACCAGTTGCCTTTTCGTTACACACACATAAGATTTTTAAACAGAGAATTTTATATGATGAAACTCTAACAGAGAAGTTCTGTTTTACACTCCTTGGGTTCATTTTCGCTCTGTTAAAAATGTACTCCCATAGACTCCTTACCAATGAAAAATATATTATCTGTAAAAAGAACTTGCTCAATGCTAAGTACATTAATCATGCTTGTTAAAATGATAAATTTAATTAATGGGAGCATTGTTTTCTCACCACTTTAGCTCATGGTGCATGCTCCCCACCTCTCTTAAAATTTGAGAGAGGTGGTGATCATACACCTTGGGTTAAGGTGATGAGCAAAATGCTCCCTTAACTGGCAAAAGTGCGTTAATCAATCTCCATAAATCTCATATCTCCAAGAGTTGAATGCAAGAACCCTTTTATTAAAAAGGCGAGGGAATCCCACTTGACTATAATTACTAAAAAGTAACTACAAGCAAGAGGTACTTCTCCTCCTTTTTAAAAGTGGGTATACATATCAACTTGTTATGGGACAGGAATAAATAGGAAGATAATTGCTACCTATACATACCATCACGATGTGATGGAAATTAATTGAGTGGTAAACAAATTTTGTTGTCCAATTACTCTAAATTGATCAACAATAGAATTGTCTTCACCTATTCAGATAATTATCTCAAATTATGGCCCCTGATGTATAAAATATTTCCTAAAATAATTGGCGAGGGACTAAATTCAAAGCTAAAAAAGAAGAAAAAAGTGACTGGAAAACAAAATGATAAATCAGCTATGCAAACAGTACTTACATTTCTTCTTCAGGTTCATTCTTCAGTGCGTTTTTGGCTATACACTGGAAGGCATCATCTACATTGAAGCCCTCTTTTGCAGAAGTCTCAAAGTATGGTATGTTTCCCTTGGAAGCACACCAGGCCTTTGCTTTCTTTTCAGACACCTGCAGCCAAAAGAGTAGAACCATATGCACATGCTATAAGAGAGGAACAACTGATGTCACACGTCCTAGAACAACAACATAGAGCCTCCATATTCTAGAATCTAGATAACTTACCACTCGACTATTTCCGCCATCAACGTCAATCTTGTTTCCCAATACAACAAATGGGAAGTTCTCAGGGTCAGAAGGACTGGCCTATACATCAAATCCACACAACGTAACTAGCAGTCAATACCTCAATATATGTGACTGTCTAGGAAGATAATCAAATAGTAATTACCTGAATCAGAAATTCTTCCCTCCAGTTATTAAGATTATCAAATGATTTCATGACATTCACATCGTACACAAGAACACAGCAATCTGCACCACGATAGAACGCCACACCAAGACTCTGAAACCTTTCTTGACCAGCGGTATCCCAGATCTGTAAACATGAATAAGAGGTGTAAACTCATCTAATATAAAAGTGCACGTATATCAACATTTTCTCGTACAAATGATTTCATGACATTCGCATCAATACTTGCTTCATATCACTTCCCATTACATGCTGAGTGTGATAGATAGGCGTGTCAATACTTCAAATTAGATAGATCATAATCTCAAACAGGAAGCAAATCTGTTTCTTTCTATAATAATTTGTTGTATATAGTTGCTGTTGTAAGATGTGGTCAGTATCTACTTTAATGTACCAAGGGGAGAACAAATTCCAAATTGAAGATTCAGACTTTAATTTTTTTTAATTCTCAAGATCAACATCTTTTTTTCTTTAGTGGACACTGCACAGCTTAGAGATGCTTGTATATAGTCAGCAAATTATTATGGGGTTTCGGTGTCAAGAGAAAGTTTAGACTAATTACCGCCTTGGCATTGATGCTGAAAGGGGACGACTGACTTTTAAATGTAGTGATGGATGGAAGGTAATTAAATAAAAGTGTTTCAAAAAGAAAAGAGAAAAAGAGAATGGAAGGTGAAATCTATGCTTTTATCAATTTCAGACACGATTAGCCAAATGAAAACAAACTTTTAAATGAGAATTACAATCCTAACAAAACAATATTGATAATTACAAAAGCAATAAATAGGTTTTTGGATCAGAGAACAAAATATCTCATAGAGAACATAATCCAAGTGACTATGAGTTCAGACAGTTAACCATTTAGGCATCAGAGTTACAGGTACCAAGCATGATTGTTCAAATATTCATTGCATCATATGGCATTTGAGTTTCATTCAATACGAATACGAATGCTGAGATATCTCTAACCTGCAGAGTGAACAATCTATCCTCAAATTGAACCTCCTTGGTCAGAAAATCGGCTCCAATTGTCGCTTTGTACTGATTGCTAAACTTACGATTCACATACCTACAATTCGAAAATCAAAATACAAACAATGAATTACAAAACCACCAAATGTAAAATTGTCAATCCAAATCTGAAAAAAGTTATAAAAAAAATAAAATCCATGATCTAAGGTTGTGGAGAGTACTGATTCATCAGTGAAGTCTTCCCCACCCTGCCAAATAACAAACAAATCAGCAAACAGATATCGGCATAGAAACACTCTGTTAACATTACCAAATAATTGCCTAAATTCTGGAATTAATTACAAGAAAAATTAAAAAAAATTCACAAAATTTACATCCAATCTTATCAAAACATGCAACAAGATTTATAACTTTTCCCGGTCTTTTCATCAAATTCCTCCATTTTCTTAGAAAACAAACAAATAATTATGAAACTCTTAGAAAAATAACGAACAAGTTTTCTAATACTTAAAAGCGAGCTTACCCGCTGTCGCCGAGGATAATGACCTTTAGAAGCATGCGCCTACGAGAAGCCATGGATCACAGGATTCAAGATAGGGAAATTTTTCGAACTTCGAATTTGGAGTTTGAAAATTTCAGAGAGAGAGAGAGATATATAGGGGATATTCCTTCTGGAGCTTGGTATTGGCGTTTCGGACTGGCTGGACAACTATCCCACTGTTCTCCAGAGTCTTTAGTATTCCTAAAGTACCCCCTATACTTTTTAGTTAAGTTTACACTTTTGCCCTTGCAAGGTTTGGACATTCTATAAAAAGGATTGGAAACTTGAGAATATCCCATTTTTGTCACTCGAATCATTTCGCGAAACTCTCTTTCTTTCTTTGTTGGTTGGGAACTGCTCCAAAACCTTCCACCGTCATTCAATATTATAGTCTAGTAGTATTATTTTTTACATATAAATAAAAGATCTTAGGTTTGATTTTTACCAAAAGTAAATTTAAAATGCATCATTACTAGCCTATTGTGAGGCTAAACTCACCCCCTTTCGCTTAGAGCCCAAAAAGCCCCGCCTAGGCACTAGGCGGCTAGTCACAATCCTGATTAATTCTTAGGTATTTGAAAAATTAAGAAATGACGTCTAGACCCGCCTAGATTGCGACTCTTACTTAGAGATAACTTTCGTTTTGCATTTTATTTTTTTTAATAAATTGTAAGAGGATTGTTAAATATTTGGATGAACACTAATTATATGCTTCTTTTCTATGTTTTCAACCTGTTTTAATACTTTATTATATATATATATATATATATATATATATTATTTTATTTTGCAATTTAAGTACCCAATACAATTATGTAATTTTTTTTAAGTATAAATAGATTTATTTATATGTAACATTGTTCTCAAAATCCCCGTAATGCCTAGGCGTTTGAAAATTAAGAAATGGCGCTCAAACCTGCTGGCACCCTCCTAGACTACCTAGGCACCCGCCTAGCCCGCCCAGACCCGCCTACCCCGCCCACACCCGCCTAGGCACCCACCTAGGTTGCAACTCACTTAGACAGAAAATAGATAACTTTCATTTTGTATTTTATTTATTTTTCGATAAATTGTAAGAGACTTATAGAATACTTAAATGAATACACATTATATGTTTGTTATTGACACACCCCGTCCCGAAGGAGGGCATGCTGGCCGTCACGTGAGAGTGACGTAACCATTTGCACAGTACGGAAGCTTTAAGATACAATTTAAATTGATACACCCGAAGGTGAGTCCTAATTTTGTCCAATCTGTCAGAACACCGTCGAATTCCTCGTAGTCACCACACCTTTGTGATTCCTGAACCTGGAGGGGCGCAAAACCAAAATTGAGTGGGTCAGTAAAACAATTCTTTTCCAAATCCAAACATTTCTCAAAACGTTGTAACCCCTCTCCGTAAAACCTGTATACTTTCCCAGAAATGTAAAATATAAATATACATATATATTCTCAAAACTTCATTTTTACTATCTCAACATTATCTCTTTATCAATCATGCCATGCCATGTCATCTCAACATTTCTCATATTAATTATGCTATGCCACATTATCTCAACAGTAATAAGGTATGAATGCATCAACATAATCATATCAGGTGCAAGAAAGTAATCAACCGTAGGCCCTCTAATAGCCCTATACGGTTGAACCTAGAGCTCAAAATCTATCATTATCACTCTACTCTACCGGAGTCACCTCTGTGACCCGTCCGGCCTTCTGCACACAAGTTACGCTCTAGTGCTTCTCATAAATCATCTGTGCACATAATCTAAGGTCACCCACCAGTCGGAATCTCACTAACACTCTCGCGACTGGCCTGTCGTACCCACTCCGCGTGGACTGTACGACTAGCATCTACTTGGATCCAAGGCGAGCGTGCGATGCGGTGAATACTATAAGCACTAAACCATGGTGCAGGATTTGAGCTCAATATATATCATCATCATCATAACAGTAATTAAATACTCATCTGTGCGTCCACCGCACCATTTCATACATATGCATCATAAATCCATTCTTACCTGTGCGTCCACCGCACCAATTCATACATATGCATCATAAATCAATTCTTACCTGTGCGTCCACCGCACCAATTCATACATATGCATCATATATTAATTCATGCATGGCATTTCAACTCACATTTCTATATACTTTTCATATCAATTCTATGCATGGTATTTCACTTCCCGTTTTTCCACATAACTCATATGCATTTCATTTTAAACATATTTTCATTTCAATTCAATTTCTGGGAAACGTCAAGTATATATATATACGGAAAACAAAACTGCCCACTCACCTGGAGTTCGTCCAACAACTCCCTAGCACCACACATCAAGGCGTCACGACGATCACCGCCTAGAATAGTAATCAAATCCAACCTCAGAATTCATATCGATAGAATATATAACTTATATAAAATACGTCACTACGTAGTTCAATCCGGAAGATCTGCCACTCAGATTTTAAATCCATAACTTCCAGAGGTCCACAATATATCTCTAGGATAACATCCTAAAATTTCATTACCATCCAACGGTTGGATCTCCGTCAATTTCCAAAACTAAGTGACGGTTAACATTCTATATTATGGACTTACAACTCCAATTTCGGAAGATCCGCAAATCGGATTCCCAATCTGTAAGTTCCTATAATCCTCAAATATTACGTATTACAACGTATCAAAGTTTGGTGATGATCCAACGGTCGGATCATCAATTCACATTTTCACCTAATGTGAAAACTATAAAACGTTATTTGAACACCTAACCAACAATCCTTAATAACTTTCTCATACGGTGTTCAATTTAGGTATATGAATATACCACAGTGATCTACTCGACGTCACGGACGTCGACATATTTTTAAAATAATTTTATTTTTATTTTTTTTATTTTTACTGTAGCACCTTCTTCTTCCTTGGGTCGCCGGACTGGTTTTTCCGGCGGCCGTTTTCCGGGCAGTTTTTCAAATTGCCATAACTTTGTCATTTCTCAACGAAATCAAGTGATTCAAAAACGAATGTTGTAGCCCTTGAAGAGACAAAGAGAATGATACCTTGCACAACACCTAGTTCGCCGTGGTTTGGCCGGAAACTGCCTCGAAAGCCTCGGAGGTCGCCGGAAACTGGGTATTTTTCAAATGAGTATAACTTCTTCAATACTCAACGAAATTGAGTGAAACAAAAAGGAAAGTTGTAGTACTTGACGAGACGAAGAGATTGATACCTACCTCGACTCCTAACTCTCCGGGGATTCGCCGGAAAACGCCTCGAAAGCTCCGGCCAAACTTTGAACTTGTCGATCTCCGTGTTCTTACGTCCAAAAACTTCCAACGAAGCACTCCGAGCTTCCTTGGGACCTTACTAAACTCGCTGTGATCTTGTTTTAGCCTAAAACGTAACCAATTCAAAGCTCATGAACAGTGTCATCTCACGGCAACTTTAGAACTAGGGTTTTCGAAGTGAAACTCACTTGAAATTGGTATCCCCGTGCTCGTGAAGTCCCCAGGATCACGATGGTGGTCTTAAATGGAACGTTGGTATAGGTTTTAGGTGGTTTTGGTGGTTGCCCGTGCGTTCGAGAAGAAGAGAGAGAATGAGAGTTTCTGAGGAAGAGCTGAGGAAGAGAGAGAGTATGAAGGACAGTATACGGGAAATGGGGAGGGTTTTGAGGTGTGGGGATCCCACATGTCCAAACCAATCCCAATTTCATAAAATTCCATCATAAAATTTAAGTCTAAGTCTCCACTCCAATTACCAAATTTTTTTGGAGCTTAGATATAACGAACGTGAAAATTATACCTTAGTCACGTATTAGGGACATTTCCGTAATTTCATGTCCTCGGAATTAAAAATTCCGGCGCGGGCTGTGACAGTTATGACAACTCGTCCCAAATTTTACGATTTTATAAATTTTTAAAGGTCATTATTCATTATTCTATTCATTTATTATGGTTATTGTTATTTTACTAATTGAGGAGTTAGAAAAATTAGGGGAAAATAAAAAGAAGAAAGGAAAATGGAAAAGCTGCTTGATGGCAACGAAGTAGAGAGGGAGAGAAAGAGATGGGCTACTGCCCAACCAGAAAGAAGAGAGAAGTGAGGGACCAATGAGAGGGAGAAGAAAGGAGGGAAAGGAGGGAGAGTGAAGAACGGGAAAAAGGGGGAAACGGGGTACCCAACCCGTGACCCGTGCAAACTCAGTCCATTTCTCCATATTTTCCAATGGTTTTCCACCTGATTTCTCACAAATTGGACCAAGCCACCACTCCCAATCATCATCTAGCCCTTCCTTTTCCCATTATCACCCAAAATTGGAAGGAATTTGAGAGTAATTGAAAGGTTTTTCACGGGAGTGCGCCGGAGGTGGGGTGGCGACAATCCACCATTTTTGAAGCAAATCCCATCAACCACCACCATTAGACTCCCCTTGAACCCAAGAACAAAGCCCAAGAAGTGGTGGAGGCGTCGAAACAAGTTTGGAGGTCGAATCGAAGCACACCAAATTCTAGGGTCCACACGGATTATGGTGAAATTGAGGTGTTTCCAAACCAAGTTGGCTTTGGTCACAGGCACCGATAATTTGTGACGCCTCGATGTTTGTGCTAGGAAGTTGTAGCGCGGACTCCAAGTGAGTGGATATTTCCTTGCTTATCATATTTTTCATGATTGATAATTCTATAGATGCTTTTACATAAAATTGAGAAACTTATGCCATGACATATATATATATATATATATGTTATAAATACTATGAGATGGTTGAGTTCAGATTTCATCGTGATATATCCATATGCGTATTGCTATAAATGATTATTGCGAACTACAAATGACTTGATCCTTGTTTAGGGTACGTAGGCAGTCTAATGAGATGTTAGATGCAGCCGTATAAGAAATGAGATTATATAATCGAGAAAATAGACTTGTTTAAGGAATTGAGCAATGTGAGGGATATTGGTGAAAAATATGCGTTTTAACTTTATATTTTGGTGATTAATAGTTAGTACACCGTATTATATAATTGGAAATACTATGAAATGTTTTTATTTTAGATTTCATCATGGCATATCCATACGTATATTCCTTGCACATAATTATTGTGAACGCTCTAAAGTGCAAAGGTGAACGTAGGACACATAGGTAAGTTCAGGTAAGTTTAGGTAAGTTCAAGTAAATATACAATATTAGTTGAATTGTTGGGGTTATGATATGACTACATTTATGTTTAAAGCAACTCCGACATTGTCGTACATGTTGCTTATGAGTCGTACATGTTGTATTAGATGCATTCAAAGCTCATAAACCTGCACCCCGATGTTAGTGCTCTCGCCAGTGGCCAGGGCACAGTCCTTCATGTAATGTTCACCTCCCGCACCATACGCTCACCTTGAATTCAAGGTAGGTGCACATGCCTGTCGTATAGACCACTATAGGTGGTTCCGACTTGTAGGTGACTCTTCACGTGATCGTAGCACTTGAGCGTACTCATTTACACCCAATCCTATCGTGCAGACCACTACTGTGGTTCCGACTCGTGTGCAGGCGTAGTGCCGTATAGGTCACTAGAGGTGACTCCGGTTTACGTGCTAGCAATGATTAATGAAATATGAGTACAGTTGTACAAGTCACTAGAGGTGACTCCGACTTATATGCTAGCCACTATTGATAACATATGTGATGAGTATGTGATGAGCTAGTATATGTAATGAATAAGAGAGGAGCTAGCATATGTGATGAGTATGTGATGAGCTAGCATATGTAACGAATAAGAGATGAGCTAACATATGTGATGAGTATGTGATGATGAGTATGTGATGAGCTAGCATATGTAACAAATAAGAGACGAGTTAGCATATGTGATGAGTATGTGATGAGCTAGCATATGTGATGAGATATGGGTAAGTTGTACAGGTCACCCTAGGTGACTCTGACATGCATACTAGTATGAGTTATTAATCGCATGATTATTTGATATTATTGATGAAATGCTGTGTTGTGGTATATTATGAATTTTCTAGAAACTATATAGGCGTTGTAGTGAGGGGTTATAATGTTTTACATGGTTTCTATTAACTTTTTTCTTATAAGGCCACTCATCCTTGTCTTGTCTTCACCCTCCATGTTTTATTAGCTGAGCTTCTTTATCGTTGAAGATTCGTGGCGATTCTTAGTATTAGAGATTATTTCGAGGGTACGATTCTTAATTCACTCTTCTGTACTTACTTATACTTTAACGTCACGTGTGAAGTAGGTTCATTCACGCTCACCGATGCACTCTGGTATTTAGGCACTCTTAGGTTTAAATTTATTCACCATCTTCCACATCATCACATTTTATGGCTTCGTCATCTTACAGGTGTTGGCCAACACAGCTCGATTCGGAGTCCTAGTGGACATTCCGGGTCAGGGTGTGTCATTTGTTCCCCATGTTTTTCCTTATATTTTAATACTTCATAATATATATGTCAGTCTATTTTGTAGTTTATGATGAAATTATATATATTTTAAGTATAACAGACACTTATTTACACGAAAGATAATAGATATACTTAAATCCGCCTAGCCGCTTAGGTGCTAGGTCATAGCTCACCGTTCGACTAGCGCCTAGTATCTTTTAGAACCTTTATGTTATATAGTAAATTTAATTAAAATTAAAAAAACCACCTAGCCTAGGCCTATGCCCACCGTTGACTAGCACCTAGCGCCCTTTAAAACCTTGGTCGAAGATAATAAGACTTTCCTTTCTTTTTCTTATTTACTTTTGATAGGAACCCATTGCATGTGTTACTTGTTTGAAATTAAGATGCCATAATTTGTGAAATGAAAAAAATAAATCGGTATGGAACACCTTTTATTAGATTACAGATGTTAATGTGAAACTTGCACAAATTTTTACTTACTAAATGCTAACAAAAGTTTTGTCTCAACCTGGTACTATTAGCTTTACCCTTTATTTTGTCATTATCGTTAAAACTCAAAGTTTTCAAACCATTTTCTTTAATTTTCCTAAAAAAAAAATGCTAACAAAAGTATATATCAGAATGATGTCAGCATAGTAACATAGTAAAATATGAAACGAGTATAGTATGTGTTAAATACGTACATTAATTCAGCAAATTTGTTAAAAATATACTTTAAAATATTAGACCATTTTTAAAATTTTAAAATTTATTTATTTATGTTTTTGTAATAATATGTTAAAAATACATATACGTAAATTTTATGTATAAAACATGAAAAATATATAAATATGTGTATAATATGTTGGATTTTTTTTATAAAATGTGTAATTCATTAAGACATGTACAAAACATAAAAATATTTTTAAAAATACATAAGTATGTAGTAAGCGAATTTACTATGAATTTCAGTACTCATTAAACAGACAATAAACATATCATAGAAAATTCATTAAATAAAGTTGTTGGGAATTTGCAACCTGGTCAATCGAATTTTGAGTTTAATTTTAATATACAATGCACAAGTTGTACAGAGAAATGGTATTAAGGACTTCAAGAAATGTAAATATATAACCAACTATTTATAATCACAATAAAAAATCCCAACAAAATACTTCCAGAATTATTCCTCCTAATTCTTCCTAACTTCAGTAAATAATTTCAAGCCTTGTTCCAGTGCTTAATCCATCTGGAACACAATGTATTGATATGGACATCCAGGCATCTGATTTCAATCAAACTCCTGGGCGGTATACAAACACTCCAATTCTTCAAACAATTAAGCATGCAGCTCCACAAATATCATTAATCTAGCTCAACACTCGTACATTTGATCTATCGAATGTACCATAGAAAATGGTGCCTTTTCATGTTAGCAGGTGTGTGAGTCTGGCAAACTTGTAAGTATAAGAACAGGAGAAGTTGGGTTTCCAAGGTGTTCGGTATCAGTTGTCAACGGCTTTCACTCAAGATCTTGGGTGTTTTTCTTTGTTTTCCCAAGTTCGATCTCTTGGGTGGTTTGTTGGCGTTCACCACTTGAGAGCATACCAAAGTCACTGCTAGGTCCACTGTTCTCACTGGTCTCTTGCTCTTGGATTTCTAGTGCTAGTGCTAGTTTTCTGAATTTATTCAAGTCTTCCTTGTACTCACTAGCGTTGTACTCTGAGCTTCCGTAACTGAATACTGTACTTTGACCTGGTATGATTCCCTCATTTAACTCATCTGCAGAAAGATTTCCTTCCAAGGCTCGAACCACCTGATTTCAATCAAATATTAAGAATCAAATGGCACATGCAGAACAATGTTTACATGGACTGGTTAAAAAAGGATAACCAGCACACAGTCAAACTGGAACTGTAAAGTTTCTTAGGCGTACTAACAACCAACCTGAACATGTACAAGGTAATAGGAAAGATCAATGAAACGGAAGTTAACCGGCCACAAAATCTTACATGACTAGGTTGGTTCAACCTTTGAACTCTGCCCTTTTGGGTTTACCAAACCAATACTCTAAGCATTGCTGGAGTTGGGATTCAAACCTCCCACCAGGTCTACGGTTCCTTTGGTTCATGGAATGGAAATGACAATAAATCTTATGTGTTCCAGGGGGATGATGAGAAATGAGAATGCACCTTTCCCATTACAGTGGTTAGTAAAGTTGGGAAAGTAACTAGGAAATATAGGGACCAAATTGGTATTTGAATTTCCATGGTTCCATACTGAAATAAAATTTATATGAAATGCGCGATAGACTACTTTTGAGAGATCAACTTGAGAACCTTGTAGGATTACCTGGCTCATTCGCGGCCGACGTCGGGCAGAATGACGCACGCAAGCAGCAGCGCAAGAAAGCATACAGGCCATTTCACTAGTGTTGTAGTCATTCTGCAACCTTACGTCAACAAGAGCATCAAAGTTGCCTGTTTCCAATGCTTGCGCAAGCAAAGGCCTCGCCTGAAATTCAATGGCATGATCTATCAGTTTTTCCATGCCGTTCAAGCTTTATAATGAAAACAAATTCCATTCTAATAGGTGAAGACAAGAACAGTTAGCCAACATAGAAGACTTGACCATTGCCATATACCAAAGAAATATCCAGCAGAACAACAGAATTTGTTAACAGCTCAAAACAAAAGTGTGCTTCATAGTTTTGTTCTCTACAAAAATATGATGGTAAAGTACAGGTGTTAAATTGGTAGTGATGGTATTTTATACACACCCACTCAACCATGCTATCATCAGTGAAGGTCTGAGTTTTATCGATGGGTTGGCGTCCAGTTATCAACTCCAACAGCACAACCCCAAATGAAAATACATCTGACTTCTCAGTGAGCTTTCCACTAGATGCGTATTCAGGAGCTAAGTAACTGCATTTGGTAGGTTTGGGAGAAAGCAAGAAATCGAACTATATTAGCAAATCAACCATTAGAGCCCAAACAATAGATGTTTTTTATTTCACTCCAAAACTGGACTGCATGGGACCAGTAAAGCGGTAAGGAAAATTATTACAGACAAATAATCTTACCCAAAAGTTCCCATGACCCTAGTGGAAACATGAGTATCGGTATCTAAAGCCAACTTGGCAAGTCCAAAATCTGCAACCTGAACAAAGATCATATACAGAAACAGTACAATATATGAGTCAATTTTAAGGAGCATTTGAAACCTAATTGACAAATATATTGGACAGCTCCATCTTAAGGATGGATTTGCTTGGTCAAATGAATAGCGGAGCTGGTTGTAATGTTTAAGTCAAAGTTATCCAGATAGCCAGTGAATTCAACAACATGGATTCCTTTACTTTGGCATGGAGAATCGGAAAGCGAGGACAAGGATTGAGATTTTGATGAGATCATTATGGTACTAGCCCTTATATAAGCATGTAATCCTTTTCTCTTTTCTCTTTGTTTCTCCATTTTAAGAAAACAAAGTAGCTTTGACCAAAACAAACTCTTCTACAGTAGTTATCCAATAATAGTATAATACTACTCATTCTATCTTCAAATTTCAATTGGAGTGGAATTAGTGGTCAAGAGGTAATGAGTCATGCAACTATCACAATACAACCTTTGTAAATAAGGACTAACAAGTAACAAGTTTACCTTTGCCTCAAAGTGATGATCAAGAAGAATATTAGCTGCCTTGATGTCACGGTGTATGATCTTCGGTTGACCTGGAGATATAGCTCAAGAGTGGGTGAATTCCAAAGCATACAACACAGACCAGAAAATTTTCTTATGGTTTTCAACAATAAAGCTAGCACGCAAAGAAGGCTTACAGTCCTCGTGGAGATACGCCAATCCTTTGGCAGAACCTAGGGCGATTTTCAATCTAGTTTGCCAATCCATAGTCGGTCTCCCCATTCCTGTAAAGTTTTTCTTTGATAAAATTCCAATCACTGATATGAAATGCAGAAGACTAACCAACAAAAATACTTACCATGCAGATGAAATTGCAAGGTATCGTTTGGAACGAACTCGTAAACAAGCAACCTCTGGGCCCCACTAATGCAGTGTCCAACCAATGAAACAAGATGTCTGTGATGGACGCGACTAATAACTTCAATCTCTGCTTGAAATTCACGCTCCCCTTGCCCACTCCCAGCTTTCAGCTGCTTAATTGCAACCACTTTCCCATTTGGTAGGACTCCTTTATGAACAAAACCAAATCCTCCTTGACCAAGGAGATTGACATTGGAGAAACCATTTGTTGCCATTGCTAATTCTTCATATGTAAATGTGATTTGTGACGACCCAAAGGCAAAGCCAGACGATGCAACTGAGGGTGGTTTCTCAGAGCCCAAGCTGCTACTAGTCGAAGATGGTACTGGGGGATGAGTAGGCTTTGGCAACAGTTCTACTTTTTCTGATGGTGGAGGATCATAATTATGCTGCAAATGTTGAGGAGGACCGCCAAAATCATCTGGAGAAATCAAAGAATAGTAATGATACAAATTTAATTAGAGGCAACGATCAGATATCAGGAATAGTCGGAATTTCACAAATTATAGAGATTTCAGAAATCTGAGGTAAATAGAGTTAAATGATCACTAAAACTGAATAATATAAACCATGTGACATGCTAAAACTAAATTCGTTAATGCTATTTCATATAAATAATGATATCAAGCAGAATAAAACAACCACTTTTTGTTTAAAGTTAAGCCTTTCTAAACACGGAGGACCTGTCGTTGTCTCTATAGAAGACTACACAAACTCAAAATCACTTCCTGATACTTTACGGTGGCATTCATTCATGCATTAAGTTTGCATAATCAATTAACCAATCTCAATCATGACAAATTAAGGGGCCGTTTGATAACCATTTCGTTTTCAGTTTTGTTTTCACTCTTTTGAAAACTGAAAACTAAAATCTTGTCTAGTAACTACTTCCAGTTTTCAAACGACAAAAACTGAAAACTACTTCTTGAGTTTTTAAAATTTGGCATTGAGTTTTCACTTTTAATTTTTAGTTTTCGTTTTTCTGAAAACTAAAAGGAGTTACCAAACAAGATTTCAATGATCACTTTTTCAAAAAGTGAAAATTCAAAACCATAACAAAAACATGAAAACGAAATGGTTATCAAACGGCACTAATACTTGGGTCAAACACAAGAACATGGGCGGCCATTTTTCGACAAAAACGGAGATGAGACATAACTAAATCAATGATGCCAGAGTATACAAAGAGGCCTTCCCTAACTCCCACAACACGCTTCTTCCTCCCACCTTCACCTTAAGCACAAAATAAACCAAAAACTAAAATCGAAATGGTTATCAAATCGCCCGAAAATATTTTTAATTCCTTACCGATATGTAACTGAATTGATCACAACAGAATCAAGTTTTTATTTATTTATTCTTGGTTTCTGGTTTCAATTTTAAGACAATGAAAAGGAGCTCACTTTTGGGTTCTTCTGGATAGTTCCCGGACTCCCGCGCTCTCTCCTGCCGCCTCTTCCGCCTTCTGTAGAAAAGGAAAAAAATGCCCACCACAAGTAGCGTACAAAACCCTCCAATTGCAACCCCTACTATAACCCCCACGTTCGGGTTCGACGGCAATCCCGGCGGTTTAGACGCAGGCGGAGGCGGCGAAGGTGTGGTTCCGCTGGTCGTCGTCGGAGGAGGTGAAGTGGTGTTAGTCGCAGATGACAAAGGTGGAGGCGACGTGGGGTTGGTAGCCGGAGACGGCGCCGACATCGCCGCCTAGTTTCAAAGTCAGCGACGCAAGGGGCTGGAGCTGCAAATTCGCCTCTTTTTTAACGGTTTTCTCGTAATTTGGTCAGAGTGCTGCTGCGAATGCGAAGAGAATCTGACTGATAGAGAGGACAAAAGAAAGGGGTCACATGGAGTGGTGGTGGCTGGTGGAACAAGACTAGAATTACTGGGACCCATTTGAGTGAGAGAGACGAAATTGACATAGACCGTTTGTAATTCGCGTAATATTTGTTTATTTAACATGGTTGAATTGAAAACGCCCTGCCATTCAAGCACCCAAAAAAGTTTCTTCTCAAAGCTAACTAAACAGACGATTCTGCCTCTTAGTATTAAGGTCTAATGAAATTCTTCTTTATTTGTATATAAGATGTTTTAAATTTGATTTTCGACAAGAATGAATTTGAAATATTATTGTTAACTCATTGTGAGACGAAGTCTACGTTCCTCACCAATGCAACCAGACCTCCAGCTCTCTCTTCATTCTAGCAATTTATGACTCTTCCTCTCTCTTTCTACAACGATTTCTCAAGAGCCACAAGTAATCCATCTAGGGTTTTGGGCACATCTTTGCCTCCATAAAAAGTTGTGTGATCTTAGCAACACAAAACTCATGCTAGCCTTAGAGCGAGAAAGGAGAACCCATTCAGAAGTCAATAACCTCAGTTACACCCTCCATAGTACTCCAAGGTTACATCACTAAATGGACGCATTGTATACTGCTTATGAAAAGTTTAGGGACCCCAACCGTTGTGTGGGAAAGTCCCGAGTAGGGAGGAGACGCAAGGCAAACAAGTGATGACATGAAAAGAATTGAAATTGCGCCCATATCTCTTGTTGGTCTTGAATCTCTCCAGAATATCATGTCAATGCCAGAGTGTATGCAAGAAGAGTTAACATGTTGAAAGAATTTAAAGATGTTTTCGCTTGGAGCTAGGAGGAAATGCCCGGCTTGGACGCAAGCCTAGTGTGCCATACATTGAACGTTCAACCTGGAGTCAAGCATGTAGTGCAACAAAGAAGAAACTTTCATCCGAAGATTGAAGCATAGATCAAAGTAAAAGTGGAAAAGCTTCTAGCTAAAGGAATTCATTACTTTTATCAAGCACCCCCTTTGGTTGGCAACATAGTTCCTGTGAAGAAGAAGAAGATACTGTTAAAATAAAGATGTGTCAACTATGGAGACCTCAACAGAGCTTTCCCAAAAGATGAATTCTCGCTCCCAACATGGATATCATGATTGATTCAACTTCTGGGCGGGATTAATGTCATTTATGGATGAGTTATAATCAAAATCAACGTGTCCATGAGAGATGAATAAATGGCAGTCTTCCGTACATCTTTCCGAAATGTTTACTACATAGTCATGCCATTTGGTCTCAAGAATGTGAACCTCATTTTACATGTTGGGTTTCCGAGCATATGATTGGGAGCTATTTAATGCAAATAATTAAATACGCAACATAAATAAAAGAGGAATGGTTAGCATACTAACACTATGTTTGGATAAAGAAATTTAAGATTACTAAGAAATTTTAAAATGACGGGATTTTATTTTTCTAGAATTTGTGAATTTTTTTGTTTGGTTAACCAAAAAAACAATGGAATTGAATATGAAATTTGTTATTTTTAAACTCTCAATCATAGAAATTGGAAAATGACACCTATTTACATGGAATTTAAACTTGGGAATTGGAGATCCCAAATTCCAAGTTTTTTTTTACACGGAAATTCTAAATTTCTATATTTATGAATTCAAACAAGAGAATTGGTGCATATCAATTTATAAAGGAGAAATTTGGTTCACATCCTTATTTTTACTACTCCATTGATTAAAATCTTATTCATTTTCAATTTTTGATCAACGTCCTTGGTATTAATAACATCATTAATTATTTGAATAGTAAAATATTTTTATTTTTAAATATATTCCTTTAGTGTTAAAAATGTTACAATTAGTATATTTATATTTATGGCTAATTTTTTTATCATATATTTTTATTTTTAGTTTGTACATATTTTTAATTTGTACCAATTTTTTTTTTCATTTTTAATTTGTACGCATAATTTTGTTTCTTTTTGTGCCCATATTGTTTAAAGTTTTATTTGTGTTTGTACCCATGTGTATACTGTAACATCCCACATCGCCCAAGGGAGTGGATCTTGTAAGCCTTATATGTATATTCACATCTCTACCTAGCACGAGACCTTTTGGGAACTCACTAGCTTCGAGTTCCATCGGAACTCCGAAGTTAAGCGAGTTTGGGCGAGAACAATCCTAAGATGGGTGATCCACTGGGAAGTTCTCGTGTGAGTTCCCAAAAACAAAACCGTGAGGGCGTGGTCAGGGCCCAAAGCGGACAATATCGTGCTACAGTAGAGTCGAGCCCAGGATGTGGTGGGGGCCCGGGCCGGGATGTCACAATTTGGTATCAGAGCCAATTCCTGACTGGATGTGTGCCGACGAGGACGTCGGGCCCCTAAGAGGGATGAATTGTAACATCCACATCGCCTACGGGAGTGAATCTTGTAAGCCTTATATATATATTCTCATCTCTACCTAGCACGAGGTCTTTTGGGAACTCACTGGCTTTGGGTTCCATCGGAACTCTGAAGTTAAGCGAGTTCGCGCAAGAGCAATCCCAGGATAGGTGACCCACTGGGAAGTTCTCGTGTGAGTTCCCAGAAACAAAACCGTGAGGACGTGGTCGGGGCCTAAAACGGACAATATTGTGCTACGGTGGAGTAGAACTCGGGATGTGGTGGGGGCCCGGGCCGGGATGTGACAATTTGGTATCAGAGCCAATCCCTGGCCGGAAGTGTGCCGACGAGGACGTTGGGCCCCTAAAGGGGGTGGATTGTAACATCCCACATCACTCAGGGGAGTGGATCCTGTAAGCCTTATATGTATATTCTCATCTCTACCTAGCACGAGGCCTTTTGGGAGCTCACTAGCTTCAAGTTCCATCGGAACTCCAAAGTTAAGCGAGTTCATGCGAGAGCATTCCCAAGATGGGTGACCCACTAGGAAGTTCTCGACTGAGTTCCTAGAAACAAAACCGTGAAGGTGTGGTAGGGGCCCAAAGCGGACAATATCGTGTTACGGTGGAGTCGAGCTCGGGATGTGATGGGGGCCCAGGCCGGGATGTGACATATACCGTCACGTGACATTGTATATTTAATCAATGATAGAAAAATTACATATGGTATATTTATATTTTATGCCTAAACTTTGTATCATATATTTATATTTTTAGTTTGTACCCACTTTTAATTTGCAACATTTTTCATTTTTTTAAATTTGTAGTATTTTCTTTTTAGTTTTATTTTGTGCCCATGTATTAATTTCTTTTAGCGCCTATATTTTTTTAAAAATTCATTTGTATTCATAATTTTTTAATCTTTTATCTGTACCCTAATTTATTTATAATGTACTCATTCTTCTTTATTAATGTACCACTTTGTTATATGTGAAATGTACCAATTTGTTTTGTAAAATGTACCAATTTTTTTAACACTATGGATACATTCTTTTGCCATTTATTATTTCTTATTTTTACATAGTTTTTATCCATTTATTCAATCAAAATGTTTGAATTTTTTTATTGCAACCGTTTCTAATAGTATTATAATGAGAGATTTTAAATTTATAGGATTATAAATCTCATAAAATATCAAACAATTAATATCAAAACTATAAAAATATATAATTAATTGTAATATAATGAGGTGTACAAAGTCAATGGACTTTGATCAAACTTTGAATACCATTAAGGTTTTAGTCAAAGAATGTTAAGGATTAGGGACCGCATCCAAAGTATCACATTTATAAATTATGACTTTAATCTAAATTCCAAGTTTATTTCCCTCATCCAAACATAGTGTAAGGTGTACCTCAGCTACCTTTTTCTCTCTTTTTCTTTGAGAGACAAAATTTATTGCATGGGACAAATGAGAAAAACACAAGGTGTATTTATACACCACTCTTGCACACCACTGTAGGGTTAGACACCTAGTGCTTTAAGCCTTGTGTTAAGCCGACTTTACTTGCTTACTTGGGCTTGTGTTTGGACTCCTTCTAATTAAATAAGCTCAAACTTTATTTTAATTAAAATCATGTCCAACATGCCCAAATAACTAATCTGATATAATTAACAATTAATTATATCTTATCATCCTCCAGTAAGGCCGTTAGTAGGTGAGTGACCTCTTAGTTTCTAACTAAAACTGCTATTGAAATAAATTAATGTAATTCCACAAGTTATAAGTGACACGTAACTTGATACACCCCGACCCGGAATGTCCACCTGAACACCCGAATCGCGATGTGATGGCTGACACCTGGAAGGTGACAAAGCCATAAAGTGACTAATTTAGAGTGCGCATGTGAGTAGGGATTGAACCCACAAGTGATATCAGAGCATAGATAAATTGCAGTAAAAGAAGGGTAATGACATTTATACCGAAAGGAGAAGTCTCCTCCATAGCAGCTTTTGCCAACAATCATCGTCATCACGAAACCTCTGCCACTAAAATCCTGGAGGGGCGAAAAACATGGGTGAGTGGTCCTGAAAATAAAGTTTTGTAAAACCTTTTCGAAAAATGTAACTCGTCGCTGTAAAACAAGTATATGGTTTTCCAAAAATAATATAATACTAGTATGTAATATAATACCCTGCAGCAAAGGTGAGTGATAAGATGTAGGGTACACCATTAAGATATCTTAACATTAAATCTCAAATCGATATCACAAGAAAACAATGCTCATTAATTTATGTAGGCATACAAGTCCATTGCAGATATAATCAGACAATAGAACAAGCTGAGTGTAGGTTTTACATTCTGGTACTACATCTCGTGAGTTGTGCTAGTCACATCACATACAAGTCCATTACATCACACAAAATGATAGGCTAACACCTAACTCTTGATCCAAAGCGAATGTAAACGGTGCATGTGAACTACGCGTGAAGCAAGTCCTTAGCCCAGGACAGTACAAATAACTAAGAGACATCGTGCAAACTTGTAATAATGACTAGATAAAAATGCAAGGATGTCATGGCACAAGTTTATGCTCACAAATAATGTTAAAAACATAAAGTGTACGGAAAGTCTATTTGTAAAG